TTTTCGAGTACACCAAAATGTCATCAAAGAACACCAACACAAATTTGCGAAGATACTCCTTGAAGATGGAACTCATTGCAAATTGAAATGTCGACGACGCATTGCACAAACCAAAAGGCATCACGAGATATTCGTAGTGCCCTTGGTGTGTGCGAAAAGTCGTATTGGGCACGTCCTCCTTGGCCAACCTAATCTGATGGTAGCCCGAGCGCAAGTCGAGCTTGGAGAAGTAGCGCGCGCCACCCAACTCGTCTAGCATGTCGTCGACGCTCGGAATAGGAAAGTGATCCTTCACAGTAGCTGCATTGAGAGCGCGGTAGTCCGTGCAGAACTGCCACATGCCGTCCTTCTTCTTTGCGAGCAGCACCGGTGATGAGAACGGGTTTGTGCTATGCTGGATGAGCCCGGACTCGAGCATCTCGCCCACTTGCCGCTCGATCTCTGACTTCTGAAAGTGCGCGTACCTATAGGGATGCACGTGCACTGCTCGACTGTAACATCCCGACTTTTTATCAGTATAAATTATATTTTAGTTCCGATATTATTTTTCGGAATTAATTATTTTCAGTTATTTCAGTCAAAATTACCGGAAATTATTTTCGACGTACCGTTTACGTTCGAAATAATTTTGGTAATTAAGTGTTATGCTTAATTATTTGATTAAGCCTTAACTTGTGATTAATGGTAATTAATCACAATTAGCATGTTAATAGCCGTGAGAATTGTGCTATATTCATGCTAAATGCCGTGCGTTCATGTCATGATACATGTTAGAGTTTTTGTTCCATTCTCTTGATCATTGCTGCGTGCATTAGCGTGTGCATGGGAGTGTTAGATTCGGTCCAAATTCATGTGCATGTGTTTGTGCATTTTGCTCAAGTATCTGTGCACCTTGTTTTGTCCTTAAGCCATGAGCATTTTGGTCAAGATTCCCCCACCTAGTTCTTTGAAGCCGTGCCCTTTTTGTATTTTAGTGTGGGATGAATTTTTGTGCATTTTGTCCCATTGTCCCCTTAAAATGCCGTGCAAGAGTGGAGCTTTGACCGAGCAATTTTTCCTCTTCAATTTTGTGGCTTTTTCACGTGGTTATTGGAGGCAAGAGAGAGTAGGCATGTTTGCCATGTGTCTTGCGCCTTGTTGCATGGAGGGAAGATGTCTTAAGTCCCTAGCCTCTCCTCTCGGCTTTATATGTTATGGGGTGATAGTGGGGTATCCTCTTTGCATGCTAAGCTTCCCCTACACTTAGCAAAAATTCAGCAAAGCACCTTAGCCATTTATTACTCTCGCGCCTAGTAATTGTCGCACGGCATTCGTCGCACGGCAAGGCCACGCCCGAGCTACCGCGCACCACCCGGTCATCGCAAGCAAGTAGCAGCGAGTACCGTACGCGAGCAGCATCCATCGTACGCGAGCAGCACCCGTACGCGAGCAGCGAGTATCACTCGCGCAGCAGCAGCACGCCGGTGATCCGAGTACGCAACGCACGCACGCATCACTCGCACGCGAAGAGTAGCGGCCGAGAGCACGGGAGTTCGAGTCGTTTAACCTCTTGAGCTTAATAAGAGGTAAGCTCCCATCGACTTTTGACCGAGAGTATCACGTTTATGAAGATTAGATTTTATATGGTCATGCATGCGTGTTATGTGAATAGCCGTGCCATTCATGTTATATTTTAAGTTATTAATCCGAATCATGTTACGATTTTCATCGATTTCTCCGAACATTCCTCGCATGCTTAACTTTTATTTGCGAAATCATTCTTATATTAACTTAAGCGTTCGGACGAATTTAGTCATGTTAGTGGGAGTTGGTCGAAGAGGTGTGGTAGCACACTTAGTGCGCACCACGGACCGCTCTTATATGTCATTGCATGTTAAGTTAAACTTGCCGACCATCATGTATTTTTATGTTCAGTATAGTCATGTTTAAGTTCAATATATGTGAATTGCCGAGAGATTATGT